ATAATCACAGTACATTTATCTTGCATGCATGTTTTTGTTTTTGTATAGTTTATCTCTTCCTTTATCATGTATTTGAAACAGGACCTCCAACTTTTGTCAATGAATAGGATGTTTTATTCCCAGACAAATTTATACTTTATTCTCTCACCAGAATATGTTCAACAAAGGCATCTGTGGCCCAAAGTTATGAAAAAACAAAACAAATGGAGATACATGAAAGTTCATCCCTCTCCACCCTCTGAAAGATTGGTTTTGAAGATACCCTAACTGGGAGATGCCAAATAGAGTTAGTGCTTTTATCTTGGAAAGAAAAGGAAAAGAAAAAAATATGAAGGAATATAAGATATTGAAGGAAAAGAAGAGAAAGAAGAGTATACATTAAAGAAGTTATGCTAACTTTGCTTTCTTAAATGTCTTAAGTGTTGGGTGCTATTAAAGATTTTTTCAATTCTTACCTTTGAATATCCATTTTTTTAAACTTTTTTTTTGCAACCGGATATATGGTATATACTACATAGATTGATGAGTATCTTGAGGCATTTTTTTCTCATAAAATAAAAATATTTTCAGTGTGCATATCAAAGTTTGATATATATTGTTGAAAAATAGATTATTATAGGATGAGACGTTAACACTGATAGGACGATTTAAATAAATAACAAAGAACGGAGATAAACAATTGTATTGTGGTAAACTATTGTTTTGAAAGTGAATTCACTCCGATGTGTATAATCATTATAATAGATATTGAAGTTAGCGCAATCTCTCGTACTACTCTTCTCTTCAAAACTCGAAAGTAATAAAGCTTTAAAAGAAATAAAAAAATATTTTAGAAAAAACAAGAAAGAAGGTGATTTCTTGGATCACAATTGTAATTAAGCAGCTATAACAGCTGCAATCAAACGATCATAACAATTGAAATTAAGCAGTTGAAATTAAGATGCAATCAAACAACCAAAACAATTGGTAACTATCGAATTTATGTATGGAAAAAGAGTAAATTAAACCGCATTAAAAATGATTTAAATCCGAGTATTACCAACATAAGCTATTAAATATAAACTACATAATATTGATATTTATATATTATGTCAATTTAATGGTATTTATTTTCTCTTATTAAAATGTAAAATTATCTGATTTACCGTGAGGATTAGCATTATTAAATTAACTAGGAATGAATACTAATTGGGGTTGGGGGGGGGAGAATGTATGTTATGAGGGAATCAATTAAAGTGGAGTAGTAATGGAATCCCTGGTGCAGTCTAAAGAGCCACAGCAATTGCTTTTCTTTGCTTTGGATGCAATGGCCTAAGCAAAGTTAGACAAAAGCCGGCACATGTTTTTTCCAGAAGAATCTGTTTGGATGGTCAGAAAAAAAAAGAAGATGAAATGGAATTGCACCTTTTCATTTTCGGTGCTCATTTAATAATTGAAATGCAAAAGAATAGAAGAGGCAGCAGCATTGATCAATTGATGCATCCAACTGAAAAAGAATCTGCAGAGCCTTTTTTTTATCCATCGCTGATCCTTAAGCAGTACAATAACACATTGAGAAAAGAAGATGCTTAACAGTGTTGGCTTTAATGTCTTGAGATACGTATATACAACCTTTTAGCCTTTTCAAAGTATATTAATTTCCATAGTATATCTATCCTTCACCCGGATTTGGATAAAGAAATTCAGATACTCCTAATACCACCCATGATCCTAAACAAAGAATACATAATGTTAACAACCCATAAATACTTCAGTTTCCAGGCAAAATCAACCATGGAGTTGCCAACTTTGATACTTAATTGTTAAAAGTGCTCACAAATTAAAGTATAATTGTTTTTTTTTTGAAATTGTAATTTTTGTTATAAAAATAAATTTAATTTAGATCAACACAACAACTAAAAAATCAAGAGTAAGACAGGAATTCTTTAGAAATGAAAGAAAGTGAACAGCGTAGGATAGATGTAAATTAAGGCTAAGATTATATGTTGGTCATGATAAAGCAATTCTGTGTTCATTACAAAAAAAAAAAAAGCAAAAGAGGAAAAGATGAAGGTAGCATTAGGGATGGCAATGGGTCGGGTCGGGTCGGGTTTTTGGGCCACCCGACCCGACCCGAGAAGAAAGGGTTCTCCACCCGTGACCCGACCCGACCCGACAAAATTAATGTTTCACCCGACCCGAATATATGACTTAGAAACCCGACCCGACCCGAAATAATAAAAAAAAAAGTTTAATTCAATGAAAACAGTGACTTAATTGAAAAAAATTATATATGGAGGGATATTATTGTAATTATCCCTAAATATATAAGATAAAATTATATATATTTTTCGGGTCGGGTCGGGTCGGATTTTTTTTACCATAAACCCGACCCGACCCGACCCGAACAGTGCATTTAAAAAAACCCAACCCGACCCGACCCGAACTCAAATTTTTTTTAAAAAAATCTGACCCGATCGGGTCGGATCGGGTCGGAACCCGTCGGATTCGGGTTGAGTTGCCATCCCTAGGTAGCATTGATCTTTCTTTTCTGGAAAATGACAGTTGCATTTGCATGGCAACACATGGATTCATACTTATTCTCACTACTGTCATGAGAGATTACATTTTTCTCCGTCAATCCAAAAAAATATTAATGATAAAGGCAACTGTCCAGTGTTCTTGCAGCTTTAACTACACCAACATGTAATCAACAAGTATTAAATATAGTCGGAAGATACATTACACTTTTAAATAAAAATAATTATGTTTGAACATTGAATAAAATATTACTACTAAAGAGATAATCATTCCTTAAATATGAACTTTAAAACGAAAAACTAAAGCAGCTGATACTTAAAGGTAGCCTTCTATATAAATGACAATTAGTGATCCTTTAAACATAAAGCCCTTTTGATTTTGTTCATTGTGAAGAGCCGTTTCTGTGCTTTTTGTTATTTATCATTCAGTAATTTTTTATACTATTTCTAATAGAAAAAGGGGAAGATGGAAGGGTTAAGAAACACACTTGGTTTCCACCATGCAAAGGAGAGTAATATGGAATTAGCTTGCAACACAACGAATTTCTTGTTTCTAAAAAAACAATGGTACGTACGTTGATTAAAAAGTTACCTTCGGTGATAACTTTAGAGTTAAAAGAAAGTTACTGCTACTAATTTACTATCTATTTGTGAAAGGAGTGAGCAACCTCGGATTCTAGAAAAAGGTTAGGCAAAGCTGATAACATTAAACAAAACTGACTTCAACAATCAAGGTAAAAGCCTGTGCGAGCTTTATATAATTAACATAAACTCTTCACTGGAAATTGAAATTAAACTTCACAAGAAAAGACACCAATCCATATGCACTGAACTTAACTATTAGTTAATTATCTTGAAAAATTCCTCATTCCGAGGCTCCATATTCTCCCTCATTAATTATTCGCACGAACTATCCCAAAAACATTATTTTATTTTAATAATGGGCGACTGTTCAATTTTAGAGTTAAGTGAGAATGGAATAAATATATATGAGAGAAACAACAAACAATAAAAACTCATTAAATGGGCCTAATAATAAAAGGAAAGATTATTTTAGAGGTTATAGATTCTCTTTGAGATCTACGAGTGTAATTAATGATTAACAAATTCTGAATAAATATTATATTGTAATCTACTCAAAATATTTAATAAAACAACAAGGGATCATAACATGCAGCGTGAAAAAGGTGGATTTCTCCGAGGGAAAGGGGACCTCATCATTGAAACTAAGCAGAGGGACATGCAGCAATATTGAATGCAAGTATGCCATCCCCCCTACAATTATTCATTTCTAAAAGTTGAGACAAAGAGGGGCATTGAAATGAAAAGCATCGGCCACTAGTTTTCTCTTTTTTTTTCAGTCATCTAATCATACATCAAGGCAGTGATAGTTGTACTCCTAACTGCATTTTTATAAATACATGTACACATCATCTCTAGGCCCGTGGTGAAACATATCACTTTGTCCATAAAGGTTAAATTTGGTTGTGACTTCGATACTGACTGCTCTCGCAAGTTGCACCCACAACAACAATAACAAGAATCAAATGTCATTACTATGCTACTAATACATGTTATCTTAAAAAAATTAGGTTACATTTTACATTTGTAGTTTGATAAAATATTTAACATAATATTTATATATTTAAATTACTTAATGTGATATGTATTTTGACATGAGTACTTTAGGCACTTACTTTGATGAAACAAAAATTTTAGGCAAGTATACAAGAGGAATAATTTGAGTACTTGTTTTTCAATTAAGCCTATGTTTTAACAAAGTATACGTATCATCACATTAGACACAATTAAAAGTATATGTATCACATTATTATAGAAATTAAATGAATGTATATCATTTCGGTCAATAAAGATCACCATTATGCATAAAAAGAAAAAAAAAATTAATAGTCTGATGTGATTATAAAATTATGTATATAATATTTCTTAGTCATTGATATCCCTTATCAGCAGATGTAATTGCTTGAACTCAAATAATATTTTCTTTTATCACGGAAGTCACTTAATGAATTTAAAAGGAAACACAATTATTTATCATTATAATTTTATTATGATTCTATAATAATATTTTTTGAGCAGTTAAAGAAGCCAAAAGAAATACATTATAGGGCATGCAATGGAAGAAGAATGATAGAAATAGAGAATTGAGAGGGGGAAGTTGTGAAAGATGATGATAGAGTGCCCAATTAAGAAAGTTCATTGGATTCTCCACTTTGATAAATGATAAAAACCCGCACGAGTCTGTTCATTGGATTCTCTTAGCCATGTAGGAGGAAACTCAGACCCTCAAAAGTTGCTGTCTTGTAGTCATAATAATCCCATTTTGGCAAAATAAGAAATAGGTAAAACTTGACGAACTTCATCAAGGATTTGCACAATGGAGGAACACGTATCAATTCTTTCACTTTCTAAAGTTGACTTAAACAAACAAAAATCACACTGAAAAACCTTCAAATTACACCCACACTGTTACAATATTGCACACTTCCAAAAGTCAGCATACATTTGAAAAATATATAAAAAAAAGAAGGAATTAAAGCTAAACTTAGTTGGAGATGGAGCCCAAGCTAAATTTAGTGATTAGCATACCCTACAAACTTGAGAACCCAACAAAATTTGCCCCAAAAAACTAAGCAAAATAGCTACCAACTTTTCCTCCTTCCTCTTCCTAAAACACTCGTAGAAGAAGCTCTTAAACTGTACTCAGTGAAATCAAACTGAAGAAACACCTAATCTTAAAACTATTGAAAGGGTGTTTATGTTTGTGGCATCAGACTGAGATATCCCTATGTGCAAAGAAGAAGAAGAGCTCTAAATCCGGAGGAGCAAAGAAAGCAATAGGTGTTCTTTGCAATGAGCAATTGGAGAGAACCCTTTGTTTCTTGGGTGCCAGAGGGCATGTATCCACCTCCGGTATCCGAAACCTCGGAGCTTTCGGCGTTGAGCAAGGATTTATAGTAGTGGTAGAGATATGATCATCAACTCCTTGGATATTGAATCCCTCCATCTTGGAAAGATTATCTGAACTTATGGTGGAAGAATTGGAAACCAAATCCTCCAACAGCACTGATGTCTTTTGAATAGTGGGCTTGGCAAGCTTCCTTCGGTAATGACTTCTTCGTGGCTTGATCGTTTTTCTCAATGTTCTTCTGGCTCTTCTGCCGGTGGGTGCCATTGAAAGAGAGAATAAAAAAGAAAAGTTGTAGTGGATGAACAGTTAAAGAGGTGTAGTTGAAGTACAAGGGAAAAGGAATACTAAACTTGGGAGAAAGAGAGAACAAGTTGAAGGCCTTTAACAAACAATTTTGCAGGGTACGAGATTCATTGGAGAGAAGAAACTGTCATCCCAGTACTTGTTAAACGGTTAAACCTGGTGAGTACTTTAAAGCTAAGCTCTACTAAATTCGACTGAAAAGATGAGTAAATATACTAAAAGAAATCACAGGCCAAAAATGGATCATTTGAAGGCGAGAAAACCAAGCATCAGATTGAAGAAAATGAAGGGGAAGAGGGTTTTGTTGTTAAACACAAACGAAAATCAAATTACAAGAGACAAGACAAAGTTATGGAACATGAAACTCTGGGGATATCTTTCACAAACTTACAATTGTTGGGTGTTAATATTTGAGTGGGAAAATGTTGGGCAGGGGTGACCGCTGCCCTAAGCATTACCCATTTGGAAAAGGGAAATAGGGAGAGATGCTTTTTGGAATAATAATAAATTTAATCCTCAATTTTTTTAAAAAAAGTTATACTAAATTTTTAATAAAAATATTGATTAAAATATTAATTTTTTAAATGATTTAAAGTCTAATTATTGTAGTATTCCACAGTTCTTCATGTTAATATAATATTATTTATACTAAATGTCATACTAATAAATAATTTAAAATTATAAAAAATTATGTGAAATATACATAGATTACGATATAAAACATCAAGTCATCAACAATTAATATTTTTATTCAAAATAACACTTCATTTATTTTTAGAATGTTGATAGTCAAATTTAATTAAAAACAAATAATGGTCAAAATAACAAAAGAAGTAGACATTGAGAGCTAAATTTATCAATAAACTTTTAGTGTTTTTGCTAATAATGGAAAGAATGGCAACAAGTTCTGCCTAACAAAATGAAAAAAATGGTACAAGCTGTCGTAACCGTCTTTCGGTTGGGCCCCGGAATTGGGCTTCGACTTGAATGAATTGGGTTAGAGTCGCCACCGATCATTTATTTAAAAATAAATGGGTTGATCGGATACCCTATTTCTTACCTGATCTGCGTCTTACCGGAAATATGTCGGGCTCGGGAGTCGATTACAGCCAAGGAAGGATTAGCACCCTTGAACTGCCCTTTCGGTACTATGTAATTTCCAGTTGTCTTTAATTAAGAGAATTGAAAGTTAAATTAAAAGGTAAAACATCGATCTGAACTACTTACCCTTGATTGATTGAAATTCCCTTAACAATACAGACGTTAAAGAACGAAAATAAAAAAAAATAAAAAATAAAGGAAACAAGAATGAAGATAAAAATAGTGAAAAAAAGGGTTAATAAGCAGAGTAAAATAAATAAATGAAACATTAATAATCTACATACAACCAACGAATAAATAAATACAATGAATAAAAAGATGATCATCAAAGAAATAAAAACAAAGTAAAGAAAAAGGTAATCGAATAAAACGTTTGAAATGTACACATAATATAATAGATATATAAATAAACTATTACAAGTATATACATAGATATATATATATACATATATATTAAAATATAACATTAAGCAAAAATAATCAATGAAGAAAAAAGAGTACGTATAATAATAATAACGTAAATATATATATATATAAATTAGTAAAAAGAAGATAATAGTAATAGTTAAATTAAAATAATATACGTATAATAATCAATGAAGAAAAAAAAGTATACGTATATAATAATAATAACGTAAATATATATATATATATATATATATATATATATATATAACTTAGTAAAAAGAATATAATAGTAATAGTTAAATTAAAAATAATATATACATATATAATAATTTGTAAAACACAACAAAAAGTATTAATATAAAAAAATATAAAATATAAATAGATAGGTAAATAAAATATACATCCATAAAAAATATAAAAACAAAGAAAATAAAAAAAGCAAATATGAGTAATATATATATAATAAATAGCATGTAATAAAAGAAAAATAAGTAATGTATATATATAAACTAATAGGAATATAATATATTATAGTGTAAATAAATAAAAATCCAAATATCTATGTATAAAAGAGTAAATACGAGATATAATAAAATATATAAGTATAAAGGGTAAAATGAAACAAAATAAAGTTAGATGGCAGAATCAGAATATAACCAAGGGAATTAAACCGATTTGGGGACCAAATTAAATGTTTTTTTAAAACAGAGGGAACCAAAATGAAGTTTACCCAACCGATTTGGGGACCAAATTGAATGTTTTTCAAAACAGAGGGAGCCAAAACGAAGTTTACCCCTTTTAGCAAAACACGCGGATCTGATATAAGCACGGGTCGGGCCAGTTTGGTCCGCTGGGCTAACTATATGACTCAAATATTTTTTTTTTGAAATTTCATTTCTCTCTTCTCTCGTCGAAGGCTCCCCTCCCTCACTCAGACTCTCTTTTGTTCATCCAACTGATGAATACCACCATTCATTTCCAGAAAACGGCCCTGCGCCGCCTCAAGCTGCCTTGCCACCGCCGCTGATCCGCGGCGGCCGTCGTTCATCGGCGGCCAAACACGAAAAGGTAAGCTTTTTTCGAAAGCTCTCCTTGCCTTCAACCCAAATCTTAAACTGGTTTTTCGAAATAGGCCTCGGGGGAGGGTAGAACTGAGATCAAAGTCTCGATCCTTCCCCTAAGAGTTCATCGGCCAAAAGGTTTCTCTTGATGGTTCAAAGGAGACTCAACAACAACAACATGCAAGCAGTGCAAGGGAACCGAATCAAAAACAAAGGTAAAAGACCAAGAAAAATACCCTTTATTTCTTTTCAAGAAAAATGCTTCGAATGATTTTACAACCTTCTGAGTTTTGTGACTCTCACGATCTCTCTTTGTGTGCTCGTGCCTAGTATATTTTTTTGTGTATTTTTCGTCCTCCCAAACTTGTGTGCTTTACATGATATTTATAGCCCAAAAATGGCTATTTTTAGAGTTTAAATTAGAGTAAAACACTGATGTTGGTTGTTGTTGCTTGTTTCTTTGCGTGGCCGAGAGTTCCGGTCGTTTGGAGGCGAGACGTGCGGTGATGGGGGTCTTGGAGCGACGTGATAGCCCTGGAATCTTGGTGATGCGGCGCTGGATGGGGAAACTGCTAGGGTTCTGGGAACCCTAACTCCAGTGGGTCACTTGGGTCATTACTGTTGGGCCTGTAAAAGGAGAGAAGAGAAAAAAAAATGTAAATAAACTATATATATATTATAACTTATAACATAATATAATATTATATGTATGTATTATGAGGGACGAATTTAAGTGTCTTCAGTTGCCCCTCTTTGCTCATTATCGTGTAATGAAAAATAGAGCAAAGATTAAAAGACACAAATTTCGTCTACATCAACTATCCTTTGTCATAGAGTTGAAATTCGATCATGAAATGACTCCCTCGTCGTGAGGTTGAGTCAAAACTGGAAGATTCTGAGTATGAGTCCTTCGTTGTGAAGTTTGGCTTCGAGTTAGATATCCTCCGTCGTGGAGTTGAAATCTACTCTTGAGCAAATTGTGTTGTTTCGAGTCCAATATCCTTCGTTGTGAAGTTGAAATTGGCTCTGAAATTGGGAAATGTTTGTTGACAACCAGCGGTCCCTTCGTCGTGAAGTTGAACTTGCGTTGTCTAGAGTCCAATATCCTTCGTTGTGAAGTTGAAATTGGCTCTGAAATTGAGAAATGTTCGTTGACAACCAACGGTCCCTTCGTCGTGAAGTTGAACTTACGTTGCCTGGAGTCCAATATCCTTCGTTGTGAAGTTGAAATTGGCTCTGAAATTGAGAAATGTTCGTTGACAACCAGCGGTCCCTTCGTCGTGAAGTTGAACTTACGTTGCCTGGAGTCCAATATCCTTCGTTGTGAAGTTGAAATTGGCTCTGAAATTGAGAAATGTTCGTTGACAACCAGCGGTCCCTTCGTCGTGAAGTTGAACTTACGTTGCCTGGAGTCCAATATCCTTCGTTGTGAAGTTGAAATTGGCTCTGGGTAAAACCTGCAAAGATATGCATATATGTGATGTTATGGATGTCATGCTCTTAGGTATGCCTAAAATGCATATGCAACATATGTTATTCTGGGCTCTGGAGAGTAATCTCGATCTCCGGTGGCCTGTCGTTGTTGACTCTTGAGCTTGAAGTTCCGATCTCTGATCTTGAATTCTTCAAATGTTTGATTTTTTTTTTTTGAAGATGCTCCTCAACCATCTCAAGCATGTGTATGAGCCTTGATCGGCTTCTGGGTACCTATACTTTTCAATGAATCTTTGTACAATAATATGCGATTATCTTTCATAAAAATAAATAAACCATTAGGTTTAAATCTAATTCAAGATGCTCAAAAGGAATTGGAGGAAAGATGGTCTTTATTCATAAGGGAGGAGAAGAACAAATAATACATGGCAAACATTCTAGAAAACGAATACACAATGATGTGTAAATGAATGTCTTAGATCTCGATAACGTGGGCACTTTTGAGTTGAAAAGCCGTTTGGTGACTTTGAATGCAACCTTTGCCGAAGGATCTTTGAAAATGCGACAACGTTTGGGAGGGTGCAACATTTCTCTGATTTGTTGAGTTTGTAGAAGATTCATGTGCCGGGATGTTTCCTCTGTTGATATCCAAATCGCCCTTTCCGGGTTTTCAACTTGGACCCATCCTTAGTTGCAAGACGCCCTTTGCGGGTTTTCATCTTGAACCCACCTTATTTTCTCTTCTTTTTTCCTCTTTTCTCTTTTTTCAATTTAGGGTGCCCTTTCGGGTTTTCACCCTAAACGTTCTTCTTCTTCTTCTTCTTTTTTTCTATTTTTTTTTCAACTTAGGACGCCCTCTCGGGTTTTCATCCTAAGCGAAGTATTTCTTGACTGCGTCCGAGTTAATAGGATGCGGCAGCTCAGGTCCGTCCATTTCAGCCAGGATAAGGGCTCCTCCGGAGAAAGCCTTCTTCACGACATAAGGTCCTTCCCAATTCGGCGTCCATTTTCCTCGGAAATCTTTCTGGACTGGCCAAATTCTTTTTAGCACTAGATCCCCTTCACGGAATATTCTCGGGCGCATCTTTTTGTCGTGTGCTCGGATCATTCGTTTCTGATAGATTTGACCATGATGAATGGCTTTCAGTCTTTTTTCATCTATCAGATTA